TCTATCTATCTATCTATCTATCTATCTATCTATCTATCTGTCTGTCTGTCTGTCTGTATGTCTGTATATCTGTCTATCTGTCTGTCTATCTATCTGTCTGTCTGTCTATCTATCTATTTATCTATATATCTGTCTGTCTGTCTGTCTGTCTGTATATCTGTCTATCTGTCTATATATCTGTCTGTCTGTCTGTCTGTATATCTGTCTATCTGTCTATCTATCTGTCTGTCTGTCTGTCTGTCTGTCTGTCTGTCTGTCTGTCTGTCTGTCCCTCCATCTGTCTTTCCGTCCATGCGTCCATCCATCTATATTTATCTAGAGTCCCAGTTGACAGTATCCTCCTCTCCCTGCCCCCTGCTGTGTGAGAATCAACAGGCTGCCAGTACACACTCTGTGTTCCTCTGTGCTGGGACACACACAAACCAGTGACGCATTGAAAGGCGACCCATGGAGCCACCCTGCAGCTGAGGCCACTCTGCAACCCTGCTAAACACCAATTACAGGCCATCAGCATAGAAGTGTGGTGGTGGGGGGGAGGTGATACCCTGTTGGTTTAGAGGAGAGGAGCTCCCTCCCTCCTTCATCCTCTCCTCCACTTGCTCCCTGCTCCATCAGCGCCATTCAAGTAGAATGAGATATCAAGGAAGAAGCAAATCCTGAATTTCCCTCTCAAATGATGGCGCTCCGGGGAGTTTGCAGAGTTTGGATAAAATATGGATCATGCATTTTTATAGTTGCTGATTTGTATACGAACTTCCATGATTGGGTCTGGCTTCAGCTGCTCTCTGGATCTTGACCTGACTGCATGTTCACTCGAGCGGAAAATCCAAAATGTTTCTCTCTTGCATGTTATTTCAGGAATAATCACAGTGTGGCCTCAAATATGCTTCATGGAGCAATAAGTGAAAGAGTGTAGTTACTCTTGTCAATGCTAGAATGCTAACAATTAAAAAAACTTGTTACCGGCTGAAATGGTTTCTTACATCAGACTCTCATTAGTGCATCATATCTTTAATTTGCTTTAAAGTGCTCTGTTCTTTTATTTCTAGTCAGTGGCGGATCTATGTTTTTTGTTTGGCGCTTCAGGGGCCTTTCACATTTCAGCCGGGGCCTGAACCCGCCCCTGTCTCTATTTCTTTTCACAGAGCTTGTCTCTCCCTTACCTCTCGGTTTTACAGCCACAGAAATATTCGGAGGACATCTCGGCTCTGACCTTTACAGTCCTTGTTGGCTGCTTGTAATGTTAGTGATTTAAGAATTAAACTTTATTACAGTCAGTATAAGTTCCGCTGATGAGAACATTTGGCGCGTGCCGAACATACAAAATCTGTGCTGTCATTGTTGAGCAACAGAGGAGGGGCACCGTTGTTCTACTCTTTCTCCTTCATGTTTCCTCTCCCACTCTTTCCTTGATACAAAAATCAGGCGCACACACTGTACATATTCATTTTGTATTATTTCTGCCGTCCGGAATGGTAAAAATCAAATCCAGCTGAACTGCAATTACACAACATACTGTACATGGCTTCCTGGAAGCTGCTGTGGATTTCACCAGGCTGAAATCATTCTGTAGCCTCGTTCACCTAATAGTTCCCACAGTGAGCGTTTAATAAGCGACTGATGAAAGAGGCAAAAATAGACTTAAGACAGATTATCAGAGGGCAGCGGCAGCGCAGGGGGAAGTTTCTCTACTTGACCCGGCAAAGACACACATCCTGCTGGGGAAATTTTTTAACAGGCGTCTACCTCCTGGTGAGTGGAGTCCCACGGGATGTCACTTGTTGGCTCAAAGCATCTCCCGCTTTCTTTCTGGGGCAGGACGCTGCAGCTGCGTGCATCTTGGCAGCTGCTCAGCTCGCAAGATGGTGAGAAGTTTATAGAAGGAGCTGACTTTGTAGAAATCGCTCGTATAAGAAAATAATATATTTTATTCTTTCCTTTCTCTGCTTTAGTGTCGATAGAGAGACGTGACCAGAGAGCTGAACTATGATTGTGTCGTGTTCAGCCAAAGTGTTAATATCATGAAGTGGCGTTCTAGGAAGTGAGTTGTGTGTGGACGCTAAGGTCAAGTCAAGAGTTGCAGTACGTGTGTTTTCTACTGTGTCTGTTCTTCATTAATGTTTAATTTTCTTTCTTTGTCTGGTGTGCATGAAGGCTTTTGGTTAAATTGCACCTTCTGTATAACTTTATTGTTTTGGAAGCATGGCACAACAGTCACAAAATGACATCATGTATAGTTGGAAAATGCATTTTTTAGGTATATCTGCATCTTATAGAACTATAGACACTAACTCCAGCTTTTATTGACCCAACAATGAATGAATGATTGTATGGTAGGAATAATGTCATCATGCCATCTTTATGAAATTACAATATTACATTATTAAATGTTTGCGTTGCCGTGGCAGTTGACAATGTGGGCAAAGTCTGGGCCAAAACAATTTCTCTATGTGGACTGAGATATTGTGGAAAATTTGGATCATGATTTTGTTGATTTGCTTTGTTGACCTTTGACAGTTCAACAGATGAGCAAAAGTATAATCCAGGAAGTCTGGATTGGAGCAAGTTGGAGCAACAGATGGATGGATTCAAACACCCAAACTATTTTAACGAATGTGGTGTTCACTGTATAAAGTAGCCGGGTTCGACTTGTTTGCTGGAATCTGTGTCGTTGTCCTTCTGCTCCCTCATTATTATCTGAAGCCAGGAAACTAAAATAAATTCTAATTTTGGATTCTTCCTGCAG